TTCGCTGGTGAATCTCACTCCCCAAATAGCCAGTCCATGTTGGGAGACAGATTTAACCATGATCCGGTGAAGAGACTGTTCTAACCGGTTGCCACCTTCAACCTCTTTCAACAGAAACCCTCACTGATCTCAACCACATGCCCATGTGCCAATGCCCACCGCTATTTCTGTTTAAATCGTCTGAGCCAGGAGTGCCCAACTCGAATCCCCAAGGACTGCAATCCAGCAGGTTTCATAGGTCTTTTAAAATTGACATCTTCTTAAGAACAGGGAAAGGCTTCAACTTGTCTGATTAAGCAAATAGAGTTCAGTTATGTAAGCAGGGGCTCGTTAAGGGGAAAGGGAATTAGAAATCCTCTGACCCTCCAGGACTGGAGTTGAGAACCCCTGGTCCAAAATGTAACCTTAGTTCCTCCCTCCAGACACCCCAATCTGACAAGAACTCCTCCTTAAGAGCACAACCGTTAGAATCCAAATGTTTCCTCTACGCTTTAAACTCATTTTATACCAGCCCATTCTCAGATCTGTCTTTTTAAAAAAAGATTAGAAAAAGAAACTAGATTCATATTTGAGTATTCAAGTGGGTGTCAGATTTTTATTTGACTATATTTCACTTGTTGACATTCCAGTGACATAGGCTGCACTGGGCCCTTCTTTCTTTGTTGTTTACTTCAGCTTGTCCAGTCCGGTGTGGATGTGACCTGGGGCAGTAACCCAGATGTTCTCATCAACTAAAGATGCTCCTTTGTAACATCTGGCATTAATCTACATTCTGTTGTGAAAAACACTCATGCTGATTGATGGGAGGCAGCAACTGCTGAATTTCTCTTTTGTGGATTTCTTTGAGTTGGTTTGGGACACATTGTTGGAGAATTCCCTATTTAATTAAAATTCTCATTTCAAAACATTATTAACCTAAAGAAGCTCCTGCTAAATGTCCAGGCTAAATATTTCTCTCATAGACAGAGCATTTAGAATATTAAACCCCCTTCCAGATGGTCAAAAATATTTAAAAACTGGTTAATGTCTCATTTGTATTTGTTTCAGATTTAATTACTGTACAGTAATCCACCTGATCTACTCTTTGGCAAGACTGGTATCCTTTTTTGTCACTGGATGAATAAATTTAGATATGAACACTGTGTTATTCTGGTATTGATTTTTGTGGAGGCTTTAAAGCGTCAATGAGAGAATCACTTCGATTGGTAAAATGACACAAAAGTGAGATGATTTTTATAATAAGCGAAGTGTCTTTCATATCACGTGTCACCAGACTCGGTTTTCCAGAGACGGCACCGATTACTGCGAACAGTGTGTCGATGGTGTGCTTGGCTTTGGTGGAGCCAGATACGAACTTGAGGAAACTAAAAGGTTTCTCTTGATGTTTTGTAGTTGGAACGCAGTAAAACAAGGGCAAGTGACCAGGCTGCGACTGCCCAGTGCGCAGAGGCCCTGTGAAAGCAGTTCTGGGCCTCCCTGTTCTCTCCAGGGTTAAACGCAGGAACCTGACTGCGAACGGACGGTGGCGTGAGGCAGGAAGCGGCCCTCATTGTGTCTGTGAACGGGGGGCCTGGGCGCGCAGCCTGAATCTGAGAACAGTGACTTGGAAGGGATAAACAGGCAGTGCTTCAGAAGGGTGGTGACTTCCTTTCGGATAAACACGTCATTAATCTGAGGGAATGCATTCTTTCCCATTAGAAGATAACCGAAGGGAAACTGCCTTTCTCTAGGTTCAGAATGTGGACTAAGTCAGTTTATGGAGTGCATGTGGCCTTCAGATTAGTAACTTTATATCATTTGAACTTTATAGGGTCTTTGTCTTTTTTCAGTAGGTTTTACGTTCTCATTTATTTTTAGCAGCACCCGTTTAAACAGCCCACACAATGGGAGAGCAGCTGTAAGTAGTACAGATTACCCAACCAGCACGCACAAAGCAAAGAATTACAACCAAAATAATTATTCTGCAAGACCATTTGCATGACCCTTTGTATTTACAGCCACAGGCAACATGTTTTGTTTTTTTGGCACTTCATTTTGGTAAGCTCTTACAATGTGGAAATATGGCTTGGAATGGGGTTAAAGAGTTTTTAGAAAAATGTGGGTGTGCTCTGATGATGTGGGAAAGGCACTAAGACTTATTCTAATAGCTGGCAGTACAATGTAGGCAGCCTCGGTTCCTGCTTCATCTGTTCCTTGCTCTATGTTTAGCACAGGGTATTCTACTTAATTAGACAAAAAAACACCCACAGCCAGCCAGGACAGTAACAGAGTCCTAAAGCAGCCTGGCCAGCGTGTGTTGGATGAGTGCTGTGTTTTAGACAGGAGTTCCTAGCATTTTACCCCTATCTTAGCAGAAACACAAAATGTTTTAAAAAAATCAAATCTACTGCTTTATAAGTATACTGTATAACAGAAATTCTTCTGAAAATTAAAATCGGTAACTCTACAATCTACATAGCAATAATACATTCGTCTCTGTGCAGTGATTTTTTAAAATGTATTTACTTTATTACTATGTTTCTTTGTCTCATTGTTTCTAAAGAAACCCTGTATTTTGTAGGAGATTTTGAAAAGGTGTTGCCTTTAGAGGGAATTCTAAATGTATTACCGTTTCTGAGAATAACTCTAGTACCACTCAGAAGTAATGAGGTTGTTTTGAGATGAAACCCAATATGTTTGTATGGCTGCTGATTTTCATTTATGAAATTCTACTCTTTGGCAAGAATGGTATCATGTATATGGGCATATACCTAAGAGGAAGGATTAAAACTGTTTATCTACACCTCATTGATACTTTATTAACACTGAATGTATGTGTTCTGTTAATGTTCGTTTGCTTATGTTATTTACTCTGCACACATCAGGAATTCCTGCCAAACTCAAATTTGTGAAAAGGATTATTGAACTTGGCCAACGTTTGAATAACGAGCAATGAGCTCCAGTTTGCACGCATCTTGGCAGGGCTTAATATCCTCTCTGGACAGTTACATAACGAGTTGACCTCAACGCAGTAGAGCTCGCTTTCGGCAGGTCTCTGGCTGGGCCAGCCAAGTCCACAGTGTACCGACGAGACACCAGCAGACGCCATGGCGGTGCTGTATCCCTGGGGTGTGTCTCATTCCCCCCCGGAACAGTCACAGGTCAGCTGAACACGCCACCCTGAAGAGGAAAACTCATTTTCCTCCCTTTCTTTTGCCTTTCCTTAGAGTCGCAAGTTGATATTTCTCTTTCAAACCGAGGTTACTCAAATCACAGTTTACAAAAAAAATGATCAAATTCTTACCCTGTAATTGAGCAATTCTATCCAAATCATCCTCGCTGTACACATGCTGACAGTTCACCTTGCATCCTCTGGGAAGCTAAACGTGCGAAATTAGTTTACTTTCCCAAAGGTTAGCTTCTAGTACTTGAGGAGCCAAACTAAAGGTAGTAAGGTTACTCTGAAATCTTAAACATAAAGCATGGCTAATATTACAAAGATGTTTTTAATATACCTTAAAAACGTCATAAATGTCTTCCCATTTCTTTCCTGGTGTGTAGACTCCTTTCTGCTTAGAATGTACATGCGCACTATATTTGTGCCTGATCATACACATTGCTCACTGATGAAGGGAAGAGCGAACAGAGCAGTTACCCAGACAGCAGGCGGTCAGAGCACAAGGGGTTAACTTTGACACCTGGATTCGTGCCATTACAGAGCTTTGAATCCTCGCAGGAAGTTACGTCCTGAGTTGATCATGAATTGTTCAATTTGTCCAGGTGCCGCAGATCACATTGGTAATTGAGGTCGCAGCTGGGAATCCAAGGTTAATTACCGCTGTGATAGATTATCTTGTGTGGTAGTGATGTACTGTATAGTTCTGTATGGAAACAGTGCTCTGCCAACCCATTAATGAATATCTGCTATTTATTAGTAAGCTTCTTTATTTGTTATTGAAGTATCTATTTATTGTTTGCTTTTGTGATCTCCATTTTACGGGTGTCTTCATTCGGATGGATTATCCAGGACTTTGTTGTCCTGTCACAGTGCTCGATCTGGTGAGGAGAGGATTATTTAGACTTTGGCATTGATAGTGACTTGCAGTGCTCTTCTGCAGTGGGAATGGGTTAACAGAAGGGTACTTTTGAAATGGTGAGGACACAGTTTTCTCACAGAGAGTCTGTCTACCTCAAATCTGAGATTTATGATGGGAGAAATAAAACCTATTCAGCTAAAGTAGAAGCACCAATAATTGTAATATTATGGTTCTTGTACCAGTTAAGTGCCCCGGCTAGCTCTGTTGGTAGAGCATGAGACTCAGAATCTCAGGGTAGTGGGTTCGTGACCCACGCTGGGCGGAGGGTCCTCCATACTGGAGGTTGGGCACAAGGCTAACGACCCCGTCCTGTAAAACATTAATGTTCCGGTAACGGCAACAGGATGTTTCTGCCCCTAAGTGCCGGAAGGCATAACGGGCAAACAACCATACCAGTTCTTTTTTTTCCTAAACACTTCTTTCTTTACTTGTACTTTGTTGAAAGCATAGCTGTCTAGACGTAAGGAACTGAAAAGGCAAAAACAACAAAAGTTTTAGAACAAAAAGACTGGTATGTACTGTAGCTACCAGTTTGCTCAATACATGCAATGTCACTCACATAGCACATTGTTAACACCTGTGCTCCAATGCATGGTCTCAATAATGCTATGTCATGTCCCCTCTTATATTTTGTGTTCTATCCATTAGAACTATCTAACGTGTCAGTTCATCTTTGAGGATGAGTCTGTCAACAAGGAGCCTATTTTTCAGTAGTGAGTAACACAGTGCCATAACCCCAGTGCTAATATCCACAACCCCAAGCATTAAAAATCACTGAAAGGGCATTTAGTTCCATTAACATATATGCTGAGTAGTCATACTTAAAAGTAATGGAATGCAATAAACACCTGTTATAGTTGCTCTGAATTTTTTTAGAAAAGGTGACTAACTCTAGAACACTGAACCGTTTGTTTTCTTACTTAGAGCATGGCTTCGTCGGCTATTCTGAGGAGTTGCTACAGAACAACACCCTGCCAGCATACAGTCCTGGGGAGTCCTTCTTCACTGTGTTTGGTGTTTTTTTCCCTGCTGCAACAGGTAATGATGCCCTCTTGGTTTGATTCTAATTGTGGAAATTGTAGCTAGCTAACATGCCCCCTATAGTTAAAAATAAAAACTGTCCAAGGAGACCACATGGTTTGTTTCCCAACAGCGAAATGGCAGAAAATTAAAAGGCAAATGAGTATGTATGAAACATAACACACAAACAATTATTTACAAAGACTGAGAATCCCTCAGTCCAGGCTTTCTCTAGTCCAAAGTTATCCTTACTCAGCTTCTCAAAAATAGACCACCCTTAGTGCAGACTAATAAAAATACAGCAGTTTGGGAAGGTACTGCTAATTTCTACAGTTACAAATTCTATACAATTCTTCAAATCTAGAAGTTTCTCTTAAACAAATGCATCCTAAAATAACTATTGCATTATTTTGAAGAACGTTTTTAGGTTAATGGGTCATTTGGCTTAACAGGCTTTTTACCTTCCAATTACATTGACCACTAGGACCAAAATGGATTTAATTCATTCGTGCAGATTCGTAAAATTCGTAAGGAATAGAACTCAATCACAACTCAGTGACGGCATGGCTGCAACATCTGACTTCACTTTCTTTAGAGAAAATTCAGTTTGGGTCACAACTTTCTTCACTTACTGACAAAGGAAAAGCACATATCTGTTCCCCTAGTCACCTACCAGCTGATTTCAGTGTGGAAGTGATCTAAAGAATGTGCACGCAACTGAATTATAGCTGAAAAGTAAATAGTGTGTGTCACAACTGGAGAAGGCAAAACTTAGTTATGGCCTGCAGCTATTCAGCTGTGTCATTTTTTCATCTTAGTATAATAGCCAATTTATTTTTTTTTCATGCTTTGGAGCATGAGTTGGGCTCTACTCACAATGCTGTAAAAGGTAACATTTATGTACAGTACAGTATATCAAAACCTATAATCAATGTACACAGCAATGTAATGACCCGGTTATAAACAATCGCTCTCTGAATACTCTAAATAAACCTGATTGGGTTGAAGATCATTTTTATATTTCTCCATGCAGCAATGCAAAAACATGATCTTGTTCAAGCACAATATGATTCCGTCTCCCTGTACAGACTCAAAACAGTCGCAATGTTAAAGTACCCCTACAACATCTGACTTACAAGAATATTCACCCTCAGTTTTTGACTGAAACAAACACTGCCAGACTATTAAATTGAGGAGTGGGGGTTTGCTCTGAAATCCTATATTATTTATTTTAATCACAATATTTTTTATTGTAACGTGCACCCACAGATGTGGGTGTTGGTGATAAACTGTGCTTATTTTGGGGGTTGATTAATTTTCTTCAGGGTCATTGGTGGGCAGTCATGTGCAGGTGCTCTGCTTTTGTATATGAAGTTATTTTGTTGTACTTCCTCCTGTTCACGTTCATTTAGACCGATTCCCTGACGTGAAAGTATATTTTTGAATAATGCTACTCGAGTTAAATATATTTCTGTACTGTGTTCTTGTGGATATTTCAGACCTGTGTTCCAGTTTTACGTAGTGGTTTTGTTATTGTCTTGACCCAACTTATTCACCCTAGGAAACTCTTCTACAGAAGCCGCAGGTGGCTGTGAAACACGTGGTATTGGTGTTTCCCGTTTGTTGCTTGTTGCTTGTTGCTTGTTGCTTGTTGCTTGTTGCTTGTTGCTGTTGTTCGGGGTACCTTTCATGTTAACTTGTGAAGTGCGCCTGTGAGCCTGGACTACGCAGAGCCTGTGCAGCAGTAGTCGTTCTCTGCAGATAGAAATCTCAGTATTAAGTTAGTGAAATTCCTTAAATAAATTATTTCGCATATTTGAAGTATATTTGAACGTGAAACTTCCTTTCACACAGATGTGACATTTTGAAGTCGGTTTATGGGAGATATTAGGAACCTACAGTATACCAGTTGTCTGATGAGGTTACAGTAGGTGGGAGTGTTTTTTATTTATTAATTTTGCTTTCCTCCACCTGAATTCATTTTAGCACCAAGCCTCACAATCTCCTCACAAGAAAACAAAAATGTCATGTGGATGTGGTCAGCATATCCATAAATTATCCCTTTGAACTTGCACAATCATTTAGGAGGATATCAGATTTTTTGTCTTTCATGGCAATTAAGAGCTACAGTATATTAATAGGTCACTGAAGCTTAATGTGATTAAGCATTGAGTAGGCACATTTCAATTTTATTAATACAGAATGCCTTCAAGGTTTGTTTGCTCCACAGTGTGCACTGAGATGTCATTTCCCACCATTATTTCAAATACCACAGCAGAACCTCCTTTGGAGAGATAATTGCTTTACTGTTGCCTGCTGACATTTACTGTTATGGCTAAATACTTACTCACAGGGGGCTGCAGCTTTCTATAGGGGAAGTCTAACACCTTTACACCCTTTTTAGAAAAAGTACTGTTATGGCTAAATTAGATTTTGAGACTTCTCTGCTTCCCATTGAAGAAGTGGTTTAGAATCACCTACAGTAAATCAAATCTCTTTTCTTTTGTGACATTGCGTTTGCACAGAACGTTGAACATTTTGAATTATTTAAAAAAGCATCTATAATAGTGTACGCAAAATTTGTCAGTAGCTTTGAATGATTTCTGATTAACCGTGACATCTCTGCCTGTCTTCTGTCTGTGATGTAGGTGTGATGGCAGGTTTCAACATGAGCCCAGACCTTCAGAAGCCCGACTACAACATCCCAGTTGGGTCCTTGGCTGCCATTGGCATATCGTAGGTGTTCCCTCCTTATTTAATTAGTTGGCCTGCAGAAATACACAGAGGTCTGAAAATGACCGATCTGCCTGCTGTCTGAGGCGATGTGCTGTTTCCCAGCTGTGTTGGACCATTAGAATCTGAGCAAACCTCCTCCATCAGATCTGTGCTAATGCACGTCAGTGTGAAATATTCATTTTTACCCGCTTTCCGCAACATCAACATGAATTGCAGTAATACCTTCTTTGTTTTTGTTGTATAATTTCACTTCCGTTTGAAATGTGTTCAAAAGAATATACAGTATTATGGGACAGACAGTCAGACATGGTGAGATTAACTTAGTACATAGTGTGACAGAAGTGTGTTTTAAGCCTTTTCAT